ATGACAAGTTGTATGTACATTAAGAGCTACATTACATTCCTTTAGTTCAGTATGTGTGCAGAATAGAGTTACTGTGTGCTTGACCAATAGACTTACCGTGTGATTTGTTAGAGTACGAACAAATATGTTTATTCACAAAATGTGAACGCATACTGTATACATAGATACACGATTATCCGTTTTGATGTAGCTGTGCTAGACTTGCATTTCTTCATTAGCTTGTACACATGAGATTTGGGCTTGAATGAGGTTTGCGTTGAAAAAGGGTGTTGAATCCTTCGGCTGCTAGGACAAGGAGCCTTTGAATGTTATAGAAAGAGATCAAATCTTCAAACACATCCTGTTTTGTCCTGATTTTGTTGCAATGCATGTTAAGTCGGTGTGCGATCATGAATTTGTGATGCCCGCAATGTTAAAGCAATACTAAAGCAGCATTGCAAAGTTTGTTATTGGTCTGTTCTGTAGCACTGTGCTGTGCTGACTCAAGGGAATGCTAAGAAGTGTAGATCTTTACCAATAAGATGACGGTCTTCATCTTCATTTAGCCTTGCCGTCATGGCGACCCAAACCCCGCCCTTGTCCTGTCACTCAACGGTGTGTTCAGATCCACCCCAGGCTTGTGTCTGCTGTAGGTAACTAGGACAAAGCTATCAAACATAGCAGTCTGTTCTTTTTTTTTGAAGCCACAAAAAAACTGAAGACTGCATGTTGCCTTATCAGCACTCCTGTATTCACTTACACACACACTCACACATATATATATATATACACACACACAAAGCTGATCAAAACAGAGAAACACAATCTTCTCGAGCTTTTTTCTTTGAGCTTTTCTCTCTTTGCTCTCTCTGGAACACACATACACAGACAAACAAATGTCCCACATACCTTTTATGTTGGCATCAAAGCAGGCAAGCTGATTTTATAAACTATATAAGTGAAATAAAGAGTTTTGTTGAAATCTATGCCGCTGAGTCAAATTTGATTTTGTGAGCAGGATTGGAGAAGTGTCCTTTGCACTACAAAATACACTGGGGGAAAAAGTGCAAAAACAGTTTTCACTCAGAAATTGCTATTAAATTTCACAATTAATTATAAAGAAATGCCAAGTAACACTGAATTAACATGAAGTTTCAAAGTAGAAAACTGAAACAGTATTTTCTTGTAAAATGTACTCCAATAATCTGTTTT